AGAATCCCTCAGGCTGGAAAACACCTCTCCTCTGTGGATATGCTGCTGCCAGCTTGGTGGTACAGGAGAATCAGGGGGAAACAAAAATCTGGTTCCTGATGCAGGCTGATTTAGCAGTTGTCTGGGAAATTCCCTTTTATGTCTCAGTTGGAAGACAGTCATTTTTATTACTTAACGTCCCAGAAGTGTCAAAAAAAGGGTAATATCGGTCCTGCCACTGGTGTGGTTGGCAGCTGGACAGTTCTCATGGCCAGGGAACTGGGATTTCCAGAGAAAGATAAGTGATGACTCTGGAACTGGGCAGCCCAGGAAGCCTAAAAAGTTGGTTAAATTGAACCAGTGGAGTGTAGGACAGACTTTGACTCCTGACACTAATGTAACACTTTCGAGTGTGTGACACGTAAGTGATTCTGTTTCTTGTAGTCGAGTCAGTCTCGGTAAAAACACCATCTATGGTTGTTAATCCCCCCTGTTTACGGTGGGTGTACCGAAACAACATGAACACTACTTTTTAACACGACATGACTGTGTAACGTAGTATATCCAAGAGGGGAGGTGCTGTAGGGTCTCTGGCCTTTAGAAGAGAGAAAACTTGAAATTGGAGGCAAACTCTCAGAGGAAATTCATGAAGGATTTTTCTCTTCAGATGCTCCAAAATCTCCTTCAGGAGAAAGCAATTTTTTTATCATCTTCTCTATCTGGACTAAATTGATCGTTTATGTAAATAGGTTTGCCTCTGCTGGTATTGAATTTCATTCGTTTATTTGTAAAATCACATATTTTGTCCAGTCATACATTCATTGGTAAACTTTTCTACACTTTTATTATGGTCTGAAGGGAAAAAATAAAAAAAAAAAAAGAGGTTCAGCATATCCATATCTAGTGAAAAATTAGAACAAAAATCCATCAAAAAGAGAATTCTGTTATCCAGGTGAACATGGAGGAATGAACAGATACTTTTTGTCTCTAAGAAAAGGAAAAACTTGATCGCTCTTTAAAACATGCTTTGATTTCACTGTATCAGGAAGTACTTACATGAAAATTAATCACGTGAACTTTATGCCTTTGAATCTTGCTCATTAGAGGGTGACATCCCATCTCGGCTCCCAAAAAAACCAGGTGACTCACGTGGTTGATAAATAACTGCTGATCCTCACAGGTGAGTTTCTGATAATTCAGGTCCAGCTTCCCGAAGCAATTCCAGGGTTCAGCTCTGTAAGGGGGGAGGTTTCAGGCTCTGAGTTTTCCATACAAGGAACAGAGTCAGCCGAGTCCCTAAGGAGGGAATTTCCAGCAGTTGCCATATGGTGCAAGTGGGTGCTTAGACTGGCTGGTAGCAAATGCTGGAGAGGGGGATGTGTCTGCAATCTTCCATCGTGCCTGGATTTAGGAGAGTTAAGCCAGGGATTCAGTCTAAAGGCCCTGCCAGTTCCTGGGCACATCACCTGCTGTCAGGTGTTGGTTGTGCTCAGGGACCTCTTGTAGAGATTTTCCCAAGTGACTTTCCCTTGACTCAGTGGCCACCTTTTGCTTTTTACAACAGCAAAACTCAGAGGTTCTCCTTCTATCCAGAAAAAGAATGGAGCCCAGGAAGCAACTCCTGAATATTGGTGGTGCAAATCTCTTTAATTCAGTGGCATTACTGGAAACCCCACCTGTGAGCTACAACTTTCTGTGTGGACAGCACTGAACAGAACATTTTCTGGGGAAAATTTTCATTCCAACCAGAAATGCCAGGCTCCTTCTCATTTCTGAGGTGCTGGAGCAAGATTACATGGATGCTCCAGCTCTTCCCTGCTTCCTGGTTTTGCTCTTCTCTGTGGTGGTGAGAGCTGGTGATGCCTCAGAGGGGTGACAGTCCACAGGCAGAAGCAGGAATTGCTGTTGTCTCTGAAACTGTATAAAATGGACTATTCCTGGAACTGCTGCTTTCCTGCTAAAAGACTGGTCTGGCAGGGTCACAGGGTAACTAATTCTTCTCAGGAGAAGAATAATTGTGGTTTGCTGAATTTCCCCTGGTTCTCCCAATCGTTTGACTGCTGGACTGACACGCATTCCTTCTGCCCTTCAACTTTGACTGTTCCTTCACCTAAGAGGGAAATTCCCGGAGAATTCATGTTGGCCAAGACCAAATTTGCAGTCACTGACATTTGTTTCTCATTCAAAAAGCAGCTATCCTGTGCAATTTGATGTGTGGGAGCAAAGAACAAAGCCTACCACTTGAACTACATTTGTTTTCTGACTGAAACGTTAAGTGAGATTTGTGCTACAGCCCTTCAGAACCTGATTTGTTTCAGACAAAAAAAAAAAAATAAAAATGAATCGGTTCTGGGATCTTGGCAATTAAATATCCAGTCCTGTGAGCTTGATTTTTCACTCAGCTGTCTCTAGTGTAACTAAATCAAAGAGCTGTTGGGACTACACTGGTTTAAATCATCTGTGAAGAAAAACCTTTCAGCTAAAGAGCTACTTTCTCCCTCTTGTTCCCATCAGATCTGTTCCTAATTGCATGTCCCAAACACTTACACAAGGCTGGCAGTCATCTCTCTCTATTTCCAGAAAAATCCAAACCCCACCTGCAAGTGTGATTTGGTGCAGAAGCTAAAACCACATCCAGAAAAGCTGTCTGCACTAAACCCTGCGAATCTGATATGTGGGAAATTGGGGTTTGTCCTTTTTTGGGGGGCTTCTGGTGGTTGTGGGGTCTGAGTTTAGAGGCCTCTGGCTGCTTGGCCAAGCACTGGGGTCTTTGCCATCAGCCTGAGTAACATGGGATGGAACTTGTGTTGTGGAAAAGTGGAATAATGGATAGAGCACCAGTTAGATCTGTGTTGGGGTGGACATTTCTGAGGAAGTCCAACTGGTTTCTCTACTTGTGTTTTCTCTTTCCTCTTTCCTCTTTACACTGCTGTATAATTAATTCTGTCCACAGCTCCCTCTGTTTCTTGCGCAATACATTTGTTCTTTTGTTTTCATCTCCTTCTGTTTCCCCTCTTGGTGGTTCTTCTACACACGGGACAAGCCTGTCTCTGCTCTCTCTGCCCAAAGCTGAAGGTTGAGGGGCCCTGGGTACCATCACCGTGCAGGCAATTAGTAAAAACACAGCAGAGATGATCGTGGTTTATTTTACATCACAGCATAGATGGAAACGTTGGATAATAGCTCCACCCATCTCTTTTGTGTGTGTATATTCCCTGGAACCGTTTCTGTCTTTAATTTACTTCAGATTTTTTTTTTCTTTTCTCTTTTTCTGCCTGAAATATTGTTTTATTGAGTTACTGTGGCACCAAGTCCCAAAATGTAAAATGAGAGGTGGGTAACAGATATGAAGAGACCAACAGGGAGTCCCAGGATGAAAATACAAGTGTGAGGTGCCCTTGGTTCAACACCAAGGTGAGTGCCCAACCCTGCTACTCTTAAGGCACATTTAATCTGTGTGTTGTTCACGTATTCCACTGGTCAGACTAAAGGTCTGGCTTTCCTGGTACCCAATCTGTTCCACAGGCCAGTCAGGGATATTTAGAGGAGACTGTAGAAATCAATTTTTCGATGCTTCCCCTGGCTGTTTTCCTGGCTTGTAGAAATTTTCCTTGGAGGGATTATTTCTCACCTTATCAGTACTGACACTGGTCATCCAGTTCCTAATTGTAGGAAGAAGTGAGTAAAGAGGGAACTTCCTGTGGACAGGGCTGACTATCTGGGCAGCTCCATCCCACAGGTGCCAATTTGGGACACATGGAAACTCTTGCTGTGTCCAGTTCCCTGAGGTGTGTGATACATGCCCTGTGTCTTGGGCATCTGCTTGGTGGGACCAGAGAAGCTGCTCACTGAAGGTCTTCGAGTCTCAGAGACTCTTTGCAGTAAATAAAAAGTTTCCCTGAAAAGGATACAACCAGAATCAATTGCATCTTGTATTAAAATCCCACCGCCTACCATTATTTGGCTAAATTTGATCTTTGATTTGCCTGTCACGTGGTTCCTCATTGAAGTCCCACTGTAATTAGAAGGATAAACCCAATAATTGAATTATTCCCCTTTTCTTTGCTTTTTTTTCTTTTTTTTTTCCACTGGTACAATTCTGTTGTGTAAGTGCACTATAAAAGAGAAGGAAATAAAGTTGGCTATATGGAAAATCAAGAACATCTGATGCCTAGGAAGAATAAAAACTAGGGGGTGACAGGCTGCAGACATCTGGATTCTTATTTAAACAGTTTTCAGCTTTGTCACTGAATCAGCTTTTGAAAACTGAATATATTTTTAAACCCCTTATTGACTGTCTAATACTATCCAGGTGTGTGTTTGGTTTTTTCTTTTCTTCTTACCAACATATTGTCCAAATGAAGAAGCCTTGAATTAATTTAAATACAACTTAGAAGATGTTAAAGTAAGAAGAGGGAGAAAAAAAAGAGGAGGCAGAGAAGTAGGCTGATTTTAAATAGCCATCCTTCAAGAGCTGTGTCTGGGAAATCAGCTCCTGACTCTGGATCAGATTTGCCTTGGTTTGAAGTCGGAGCAAACCCCCTGGTTTCCAGATGGAGGTGCCCCCAGCTGTTGAGGGAACCAGGGATCTGAGAGCACAGGGGTTAATCCCAGGCGTGTGTGCAAGTCCCGCTGAGATAAACCAGGCACTCGGACCTTCTGCTCTCAGAGACACTCTGGCACTGCCGGGAGATTCATTCTGTCTGCAAAACCGAGCATGTAATTTCCCTTCTCCCTTGCTCTCCCCTCTGTCCTGGTCTCTGGGCAGTCCTGTGGCTCAGAGGCAGCAGCCAATCTCCCTGGTGACAACCAGGACAGCTGAGGTGACCCTCAGCAGGGTGGTGACACGCAGGTTTGCACTGCAGGAAGCCCCCAAACTGACTTTTTTTTTCCTGCTGGTCAGAGGAGGAAGGTTGGGGAAACCCTGAAACACCTCTGTGCTTTGGAGAGAAAAAGCGAAGAAACGACATAAATTAAAACAAAACAGTAAAAAAACCACCCAAAACAACAAACACCTCCCCCTCAGCATCCACACTGCATCCACGGAAAGCTTCCAGCTTACTCTCAGTGTTATGTCAGCTTTACACAGAGATTAAAACTGATCCCTCCTCAGTGAACACCAGCTCGTGTGAGCCGTGTAAATCCACAAGTGTGTCCGTACAGCCGCCAGACTTGGCATCCAAAACACCTCCACGTCCACAGAGCCAAGAGAAAGGACATTTCTACCTGTTTCCAAATGAAACAGAGGTGCTGAAGTCTCTGGAGTGTGGGTTTATTTAGTTGTCAGTCTTATTTACCACTCTGAGCTGTCCTCTGCCGCCGCTGAAGCTGAGAGTGAATAACTCACCAGCCTGCACAGATAACTTTGCTTTTTGTTTCAGTCCGACTCGAGACAGAAATCCCATCAAAGCTTTAATTCCAATCCCCGTGCTGAATGATGACACAGGAGTTCAAGAAGTAGAGGGTAAAAAAAAATTCCTGAGGAGTTCCTGAAAGATTTTTCCAAGAATTTTTAAAAGCCTCTTAAAAAACGGCGGCAGAGATCGAACGCTGGCAAGGGAGGGGAAAGGAAAAAAAAAAAAAAGGAAGAAAAAACTTTGGCAGGCAAACAGTGTCTTACATCAATCTAACAGTCAGCATCTATGTAGATGTTCTTTCCTCCTTTTGTGCAACACCCCTTCCCTCCTACAGACCACCCAAAGCCCTATAAATAATCCAAGGACTGTATTTTTCCTCCAGATTTCTCTTCCGACCTCAAAGGAAAAACTATCAGGCAAAGGAAGGGAGAGAGGGAGAAGGGAAAGTGAGGAGGGGAGAGAGAGAAAGAGGAAAGATGGCTAGTGAGTTCAAAAAGAAAATGTTCTGGAGGGCAGTGGTGGCTGAGTTCCTTGCCATGAGCCTCTTTATTTTTATCAGCATTGGCTCGGCTCTGGGCTTCAGCTTCCCCGTGGTGGGCAACAAAACATCCACAAGGTCCCAGGACAACGTGAAGGTCTCGCTGGCTTTTGGGTTATCCATCGCTACCATGGCACAGAGCGTGGGCCACATCAGCGGGGCCCACCTGAACCCGGCGGTGACCCTGGGGCTGCTGCTCAGCTGCCAGATCAGCATCTTCAAGGCGCTCATGTACATCCTTGCCCAGTGCCTGGGGGCAGTGGTGGCCACGGCAATTCTGTCAGGAGTCACCTCCTCTCTCCCAAACAACCTCCTGGGGCTCAATGCGGTGAGTAGAAACTTTTAATTCCTTCTTCTTTAATTTTTCTTTTTTTTTTTCCCCAAGTAGAAATGTAACACCTGTAGCCTACTAAAGTTGTGTGTGCGTGTATGGGGGGTGATGGTGACCTCAGGCAGCCAACTGCTTATTGTAGCAGAGAATTCAGCCCTGACTGATGCCAGGAGGGATCTGTGTCATAGGGATGGTCCTTCCTCCCCACCCCCATTTCGGAGCTTTAGGACGCTCTGGGTGGGATGAGTTTTGCTTCTGTTCAGTTTTGTGCATCCAAGTTGATGAAAGGTGGCTCTTGACAACAATTTAACACTGAAATCTCTGGCAGTTGCCTGATCTTTGATGGTTCTGAGGGTCTCTAAGGTGACATGCTGATTAATGTGCATTTACTAGCATTGTTTTGGCTTCTGTGAATGTGGTTCGTTTTCAATACCTAATTAATGGTTTGTGTAACCTGATGATGACTGCAAGGAAAACCTGTGGGAGCAGAGAGAGGTGTGCAGCAAGAGAAACCCTGTCCCCAAAGGTGTGAGCCTTACCTGTTGCATTAGGCAGAGTGCTCAGATCCTGCCTGACACAA